CGTACAAGTTGGAACCGTTTCAGTTACTTCGTTGTTTGCTTCGTTTTTTTAGCGGAGCTCCTGCGCGCCGAAGGCGCACAGCGGAGCATCCATTCCTTCGAAATTTTGGTAACCCATCAAGCCGAGTAAATTTGGTTATGACGTCACCGTGGAAGCGATGCCCGTCCGTCCGTTCGCACAGACTCTGGGGGAGTGGGAGGGGAGCACAAGAATGCCATCTTTTCTTGGCGGGATGAAAACTCATTGCATGCTATTATGTTATGTCAACAAACGATAGTGGAGTTGATAATGCAATGTTCTCAAGAGAGGGTTCAACTGAGGCAGAACGTGAAAGAAAACAATCGGGAGTAAGAATTTCTAGTAACAGGAATAGATCGCGAAAGAGAGCAGGCGCGGCGAGGGCTGGAGAAAGGAGGCGAAACAGTACTGAACAATGCCGTGAATTAGAGCGAGTCAGGGCTGAGAGAAAGGAGATGAAACAATACCGAGCAATGCCATGAAGCAGAGCTAGCGAGGGCTTGAGAAAGGAGAAGAAATGGCCGACAAATTGTCTCAGAAGACTACAGAACTTCGCAAGTTAATTCGCACGTCGAGATGTGCACCCGTGCAAGGAATGTCACATGATGTTTACTGTGTTTAGAGAAATTACAGAACGCTAAATACAGTAGAAAAGATGGTTGATTCGTTGATCTATCGAAAAGATTAGTTCAGTTCAGTCTTCACTACTTTTGCTGCAAGTTTCTGCCTGGAAGACTTACCCAGTGGCCGAACTTGCGGTAAGCGACTGATCTATTGTTGTGGTGTTTTCAAGTCTTTTATATAGAAACGAGACACCTAAAGGCGATTCCGTGGGATACTTTGGCTAGAGAGCGTAGCATTGAAATGAATTGTGAAGTTACAGTAAGGTGCCACGATTAGTCAGTTAGACCAGCCATAGAAATCACTGTAGAAAGTGTTGAAGAAACCATCACTGTGTTTGTAGTGGAAAATAGGGTAGGCGGAAAGTTACTGTGTGAGCTGAGTCTCCTTCCCCGGCTCCTATTTCTTCTTTCCGGGTGATCTACAACATGGAACGAGAGTGTGCATGGTGTTTAGAAATGGCATCAAAACTAGCTGAAGTAATACTGAAACGTGGAAAATGGAATTTGTTTTTTTTTTTTTGAAGGAGGCCATATCACTTCAGTTAAGAGCTGCCAGAAAATCTTTGAGGCATGAATAGTAACGCAACGTTTTCATTATTTGAATACTAAAATATTGTGAAGGGCTGTATTGCCGTCAATGAACGTAACGAGTCTACTAAAACATTAACAGGCTAAAGAGCTTATTATCTATGATATAATTAGAAGCTCTTTTCTGTGAGAGAAGAACTGAAGCACATAAATAAAAGTATTGCTTGTCCTTAGAGGCTCATTTGTGTGAGAGAAAACGTAACGCAATGTAACGCAACTGGTTGATAATGTGTGCTTCTTTATTCGAGATAACGAAAGGATTAAAGCTTCCATGCGAAACATGAGGAATTCTTGTTAACAAATATTTCCCTTTGTATTTATAAATGTTAACAGTGAAACACTGAAAATAAAATAAACATCGACTGGAATAATCCTTCTCGCAAACACTATTTACAAGTGCGTTCTGGTAAACGAGGCGGGTAAACAATCTCAGCAAGAATACACAAAACCTTAAACATAGACGTAGCATGATTGTCGACTCATAGACTGAACTGTGAAAGTAACGTAAAACTCTCGAGGCCTACATATCTTCAATTGCAAACCAACAAATATTTCAGCGAATTTTTGAAATGGTTGGTGTCGATGTTTTCCGTGATGGACTCGTTGATATTTGAATACACCGATTCAATGAATATCGTGTGTCAAAGTTGCTTCAAACTTCTTGTGTAATTTAGACTAAGCGTTAGGCACGTAGGCCGGATGAACACGCAGGTTCGGTTGCTGAACTCTTTGGTTCGTTTGGCAGGCCGAGTGAACAGTGAACTCGTTGGTTCGATGCGTAACACGGAACGGATGATCCGCGAACTCTCTGTAATTTTCTCAGTTCAATTCAATACACAAAGTCGAAACACTTTCTTTGATGTCTTACCTTCTGTTTATTTCCTGAACTCGTACAGGTTACTACGAGCGTAGCACTACACTGTTTACACAAGCTACTCCTTGCCAGAATCGCAGAATCTGTCGAAATTACATCACATGTACTCCATGTACTCCCGTTAAAGTCATGTCATCTCGGCAGGTATATTTTGCAGGTTGCAGGTTGCAGGTTGAAATGTAATTATAACTGGAAAAACCGCTGGCACTTAAAAGAAACGCACAGG